TTTACCCTTTTTTTTTTTTTTTTTTTCTCTTGGCTGAGGGGTTTCTTGCCCCCAAAGTTGTCGTCTTCCCGCGGCTCGACGTGCTGGAAACAAAAGAAGAGGCACCTGTCTGAGGGCGAGGGCTGACAAACAGGCAGCCGTTAATGAGGATGTAATTGGTACGGGACGGGCAGTTGCTAATGCAAAGTAATTATGACTTGTTTTTTCTTAGGGAGAGAGCGGCTGTCACGGTAAGTTATTTTGTAATGGTGTGGTGAGCAGTTGTGCGCGAAATAAAAAGATGGGGTGTTAACTCAGGATAAGTTAATGTATGTTTTGAAGGACTCTATTTTCTGCTTTATTCTTCATGGTCTTGACAATTTTCCTTCTTCAAAGAGTGTCTTATGCCGTGAATCAGGTGGCAAGATACAGGCTAATTTGTGTCATTTAATCTGAAATTTTTAATTTCAGTAAGTGTGATGGTGTCATTCTCTTCTGTGTCTGGGCAGCCTTGACATCACTAGATTTTATTTCTGCCTCTGAAGTAACTGTTACATACTGTTGGTTCTTCTCTTAGTGTCTTACACTTCTAGTAGTGAAAGTGAAGTTCAGCAAGGTTGCTAAACTAACCAACACAGCATCCCTGTCATCCTAGTGATTCTTTCTCTAAGTGTATGTTGTTAGATATTTTGGAGGGTTCTGTGGCCCCCTACTTAGATTTTCATGTTGCAAAAAGTTGGGAACTTTGTGCCTTTTTGATTTAGGAGATGATTTAACATTTGAACTAATTTATTTTTTACTGTTAGTATCAACAGCTCGGTAATATGTGGAGCTATTGATGTAGTCTGAAATAACTTCTTCCACCATGTTTCTTAAAATGTTTGATAATTATTAGCTAAGCGAAGCAAAAACTTCACGGTGTAGAAGCTTGCTTCTAAGTGAACTTTTAGTGGTTGTGTATTTGGCCACAGTTTATGGAAGTCCTGATCCAGATTCTAATGCTCCAAACATAAAGCTCAGTGATTTTGTGAAGACCTAACTAACTTGCAACAGATGAGATGTTACTCTTCAGACTATATTAGTGTCTTTAGCCTGTGATTTCCCATTGTTAATCTGATAATTACTGTAAATGTGGTAGTGTGTATCATAACTTCGCGCAGTTTCTTGTGTTAATACTTTGTTCTGCTACTTAATTTTCAAACAGAAGGGAAAGGGGGAAAGAAGAGCCCTTGAAAGCACTATGGTCAGATTTGAAGTATTTAGTTAATGCTTCAAATATGGTCAAAGAAAAGTATTTAGTTAATAGTGTGGAAAGTTATAATCTGAATTTGATTTCATGAGAAGGTAGTTTGAAATCCATTAAATTTGCATAAACATGAAGATAGTATGTTCTAAAATGAAGTTACTCAGAAAATAAAGTATTTTTGAGGTTTTAAATTGGTGGATCAGTTATAATTAATTTTGAAACTCCCATATTGTAAATATCTGAGAACAGGATATTTTAACATATAATACTCGTAAATTGTGTATTTCATCTTTGTGTGGCTGACAGTAAGGAAAAATTAATCTCAAAATTTAACTAGATTCTAATTTCTACATATTGTTCAGAAAAAGAAATTTGAAGTCCTACAAACTGAATTAAAACATAATATTAATACATGAACATTTATGCATCTATAGTAGTAATTATGTCTGCAACTTCTATTGAAACTGTGGCATGTGTTGCAATTAATTTGTCCCTTCCATTCAAAATTTTTGTTCAGAATTTTAGGAAATTGGAAGATAAATTAACAACACACCTGTGAATCTGCATAATACAAATAGAATGTATATTTTTATAATGCGTGGTAGTCATTGCCCTGTGATGATTTTTATCTAAGGTTCACAACATAATCGGAGAAGTGATAAACTGTTTGGCTAGTTGGTAGTGTACTAATATTCACCTGTCCAGATGGTTTAGGAATGGCATATACCAAATACATCATCTGCTTACAGAATTTTCTACAAATATAAACCATGAGGTTTGGTTCTTAAAAATGGATAGCGGGCCTTAAAAGTTACCTTTTAAAAGAGATTTTATGGGCTTCTTTCAACTTTTCTTCTAAAAATTACTCTCTGGGCTTTGAAAGAGAGTCATGATCATGGCTTTTGGATGTGCTCCTTGCTGTAGCTCTCGATGCCTTTTACCTTAAAGCTTGATTCCCACAAATCTTTTGTTTGTAGTGGCAGAAATTTGCCTTCTGTTTGTGCTTCTAGCAGTGAAGGTTGACTGGGAGCACCTAAGACTATGTGAGTGAGGGCTTTTATTGGTGCTTCATCCCAGGTTTGTATTTCTATGTCAGAGACTGAAAGAAAGACTTTCTTGGTATAGGGTACTCCTGTAATCTGTTACTTGCTTGTTACAATAATGTTCAGATTTCTTTATCCTCAGGGAATGTTGCAAACTGTGTCTCTTTACTGAGGTGTTGTTTTGTTTTTTTTTCTGGCAAGTTAATAATTAGAAGTGTATGTATGCTTTTACCTTCTCCATTTTTCCTTGAAAAGTTAAAAAATACATATGACGCAATTTGCACATAGAGGTAAGTTGTAGAAACAATGTCTACTGACTGTTACCAACAGAATAAAAGTGACTTTCTAGATTCTTACTTTTTGGTTCTCCGGTAGTTGAAGGCAAAATTATTTTCTGTTTATAGACCCATTGTATCTTATCTAGGTTAAATTATTAAAATGTATTCTGGTACTATTTTAAAATAATATGGCTTAGGAACTGCCTCTTAGTTCTGAGTGAACTAGAGGGTGCACATTACATGCTTTGCAGCAATCTTGAATAAGTGTGAAGCTCCAGGAACCACTGTAGCTGCTGTCTCCCCTTTTCTAACCTGCTGATTGTGGAACTTAGGGCAAAACTTGGAGGCACAGTCTGTGTTATGTAGAAGGCCTCTATTTGTGAAATGTATTACTGGAAAATAATCTGAAAAAATTATCATTTACTTCCAGAAGGTGTTGTAAAACACTTGCCAAGTACTCTGATAATTTTAAAACAAAATTTCCTTTGGTGTTTTCCTAAAATACCTGCACTTGTATCATTTTGTGCTGAGGAATGGTTCTGTTGGTTCTCTGGGTTTGACGATATTTTTTTCTTGATGTCTAAACCACAGGTAGTGCCTCCCAATATGGTGATGGTGCGTACCAAATAAATTCATGTGTTAATTCTCATCAATTAACTATACCTCAAATATTGTATACTCAGAAATGTGTCTGGCCCAGTGTTTGCATGTACACATCCCCTAAAGCTGTTGTTTTAGTAAAGCTCTCATGTCATTGTCCCTGGTATGTTCATACTGAATTCTCAGTTACTGGATTATTGTTACAGTTTACTTTTAAGGAATATTTCCTTCTAAATTTATTCTTCTGACCCTGGCTAGACTGCTGAAAGTTCCTGTACACCTGTACACCCAAGTGACTGTTTTTGTCATCACTGTTACCCATAAACTGCAGTTATTTGAATTCCAAACTGAAGTGGGTATTAGGTTTTGTCTGCTAGTAGGGGCTCCTTTTCTTCTTTGAAATAAAATCTGTTACACCAGAATTAAAAAAAAAAACAGTATAAAGAAAAATGTACAGTGCTATACCTTAATTTTATTCTGTATTCTGTAGTTAGATAGTTATTCATGTATTATTATTCATATTATTCTTTATAGTTATTGTTACTTTGTTGTCACTAGGAATGGTCTTGGTGCGCACGGATGCTGGACAGCTTGTAATGGTGCCTCAGCAGGCTCTAGCACAGGCTCAAATGCAGGCTCAAGTACAAACGCAGGGACAGGGTCCTGCCAGCATTTCACCTAGACTTTCAGTGCCCACAACTGGCCCTGTTTTTCGCCTATCAGCAACTCAGGTATGTCTGGCTTGATTTCACTTTACTTTTGTTCATTATGTTTTCATCTGCCTTACAAGTTATTAACTTACATTTTTTTGCAAATGTTCTTTCCTCCCTTATTTTTTGTTGTGAAAACAGAAAATACTTATTCAAATGCAGTTTATCTTCTGAGGCAGAGGAATATTTTTTGTATTTCAGAAAAAAAAAAATCTATAAAGTCTCTCAAGACCTGGTTTCGACTGTGAGATCGTTGTAGGCCAGAAGGCTCAGTCTTAGCCAGAACTTACTTTGGACTGTACAGTACTGGTTCAGTAAGTGCCCCTTGTTCCTCTGAATCAGAAGCATTGTGAGATCCCAGCATGCTGAATGGATACACAGGATAGCTAGGTTTGACTAGAAACTAGAAAAGAAAAAGCTAAGCACATTCAATACAAGAATTTGCAATAATTAACTTTTCAAATGTACTTTATTCAAAATAAAGGTTTGATTCACCTCATTGTGTGATCTGTCTACACTTAAAGTTTTGTCTGTGTCATGACTACATTTCTTTTTTTATATGGATTGACACGATAACGTGCTTTCCTACCCCAAAGTCTTTAGTGGAGTGTGCTTATTTGAACTTAGATATGATTTATTTTCAAGGGTGAAGGTGTATTGTTCTTTAAACTACTTGCTAGGCTGCATTGGTTTGAAATTTTGTAGGGAGGCTGTTTAGCTTTAGGCCATTTGGGACGAGAGCTGAACTATCTGACTGAAATGTTGGGATGTTAGTACAGGGCAGCTGTGCCATAATAATAATAGGCAGAGTTTAAGGTAGTTTTGCTAAAGGTCTGTGTTTGCAGAAGTGCTAAGTAATTCTGAGTGGAAAGAGATGAAGAGGATGCCTTTATAATTTTTTAATTGATTGATGCTTGAAAAAAACATCTGTTTCCCCATATTTAACATCTGATTACTGTTCCATTATATGCTTTGTATCACACCATATTTATAGTCTAAACGATTAAGTTTAATTAAAAACTGAAAACAATTATAAACTTTTCAGAAGAGAAGGAAGCCAGAATAAAATCAAGAAATTGAAAATAAGTTAATAACATGAGGCAATCTAAAACACAGAATAGCCAACGAGAATGTAAGTTTTAGAAATGAGTGTCACTAGGAAGACTAGTTCAATGGACTGTGTCTCACAAAGGACATAAATAAAGGCCTGGAAACACTTGAAGTACTTCATTCTCTCACTAAAGAGGTAAGTGCTGTATTGGATGGAATTTGTAAAAGAACTCTTAGCAGAAAAGGCAGCTGTTTAATGTTTGAATTTGTGATATTTGGAAGGATAAGAAGACTTCAAAGATAAATGTATTTCAGGAAAAATAAACACAGAGATAAGCCTGTGTTAATTTCGAGATAATTTTTGCCTAGTTTAATGATGACAAAATTCTTGACAAGTTACTCTTCTGAGTTTGTATGTTTGTCTTTGGTTGTTTGGGGCTTTCTTTGTGAATAAGTACAATCAATTCTTTAGTAGTGACTACACGGGACTGTATAGAACACATTCTTATAGTGGATCCTGAGGTAAGGGCATAGTATAAAATGTAAAGCAGAAATTGTGGAGTGTGACTGTACCAAGAATATGATCTCAGTCTATTAAGATGAGTTAGTTTTAGCTGTTTCTGTTTCATACTGTTATTTTTCCTGTAACCTTAATTGCTGTGGCCAGCCATACAGAATTAAAATTCAGAGTGGAAACATTCATAGCAAGTTAAATATTGACAAATTGTCTGTAGTTTGAAAACGTTTAAGGAATGTACCTTTATTGTACATAGAATCTTAGGAAGCGTACAAAAATGTAGACTGACTGCTTGACTCTGTGTGTTCAGTCTTTATTAGAAGACTGGAGTTTGCATCCCAAAGTCAGCCCTAGAATATGTGTTGAGAGTTGATCATGTTGGCCTCAGCAGCTGTTCTCTAGTTTTATGAAACTGTTGAGGTTGCAGAAAGAGTATAATCTGACTTGCTGGATTTACATAAAAATGAAACTGTGAGGATACCTCATGTTCATGTGTTTGTAGAGATACCTAAAATCTGAAGGAGTTCAGGTGTTAGAAAGACATAATTGTTTTTGTTCAGGGTTCTGCCCAGGTAAATACCCTACTGCATTATAGATATTCCTTTATGCTCATTAGTGCTAATAAGCTCGCTGAGATTAGAGGAAACCAGCAAGGCCTTATGAATGATACATGCCTTACAGGATGCAAAATTTTGATTATTCTAGTGTAGTGGCATGAGAATCATGGCATTATAGCTTGTCAGGATTCATGTCTTTTGACACATCTTTGTGGTAGCTGCCCAAATGGTACTGCATCATTTTGCTACTTGTTGTAATTAACAAGGATAAGAAATAATAAATATTGTCCTTGGGAAATTTATATTGAACTTCCATAACTGCATGTGATCTACAGACTCTCTTCTTTCATTTTGGCAGTGCTTATGTTTTATATGTGTTTGACCTTAGAGTGTTCTTTAAAAATGATGGTTGACAGCCTTTTAAAAGGAGATTGTAAAGGCTTAAATTCTAAAGGTTTATTTTATCAGAACTAGACTTTTATGTGATTAGGTGGATGGTTTATAACCAGAGACTTATTCGTTGTTTTCTTGGAGGAAATGTCCAATCGCAAGTATTATGCTAAGGTTTTAAAAGTGTCAGTTTTTTATTTGAATAGTCATTATGAATAATCAAGAAAAGGGATCAAGTTCTAAAATACAGGAAATTGTGTGTAACGAAAAATATTTTTTCAGTGAGTTTATAATTAAGCTTTTTTCTTTCAAAATCAAATTCTGATGTGTCAACTAAAATTTAAAACGTATGAAAAATAACTGTCTTTTTTGTCTATAAAGTATGATCTTCAAAAGTCCTAGTCTCCACTGAGACTGAAACACAGAAGAATTGTGTGTGCCATTAGCTCAAGATGGACAGAATATAAACATTAGTTGCTTGAGTCCTGCAAAATATTTTGCAAGACTGATGAACATCGCAGGCTACGTGGCTTTAACCTCTTGAACATCATATACCTATCTCCAATATGTTAGTGGAATGATTGTTGTTTTACTCTGCAGAGCTAAAATTTACTATTATGGTTTTATTCTGTTACTTTAAGATAGCTTTATTTGGATTATAATGCAGGGTCTTTTAAATGTGTAGTATTTCGTGATGTGCTTCAGTCACTGAGTTTGTGTTTTACTCTATTTCACCTATGTAGAAAGCCTATACAGGTGGAAATTTGCAGTCTGCCATAAGTATTCTAGGAAATATATCTTATTATGAAGAATGTATCAGAAAGGCGTAGCTGTCATGCTTTGTAGGTATTGTGATTGCTTTTCTTCAGATTGTCCTCATTTCTAGCCAGTGTCAAATGTCACAAGTTACTCAGCCAAGTGATTGTTTTCAGTGTTAATTTGTCACTTTAAGTAATTACTGTGTTAAAGTGCATTATGAGCTATGTAGTGCAAAGTAAAACACAGGTTATTAAATAATATGCCAAAGAAGTTGCAAAAGCTGGCAGTTACTTTTGGCAACTCATTAAGTGTTGATAGTGATAACTGGAGAATATAAAATGAATTATGAATTACTTTGTTAAAATTTACAAGAAAGATTGTCTGAGGAATTACCAAAGCCTTCATCTAAATTTGAAAGCTCTTTTGAATCTATCCCATTGGCATCTCTTTCAGAAAAGGAGGAGGGGAAAATGTTTTCAATGTTCTTAAATGAGTTTGACTTGATCAGTATGTACTGAGCTGCCCAGGTTCTAAACTGCTTCTGCAGCCCAGTAATGCAAGATTTTCTTCCCATATCCTAGTGCCATCATTTGCTAGATCTTCTCCCAGCTGTTCAGGAGGAAAACGAATCAGGTTTCCCATGGAAATTCCTTTAGCTTCAGCAGCCAGGCTTATATCCAGGACAGCATGTGAGGAAAAAGCCACCTCTCTCTAGGAACAGTGGAAGCTGATGAAATACAGAAAGGGTAGTCAGTTTTCCCTTAGGATTTAGTACATGGGTCTAGGATGCTTTCCTTAAAGACAGTGGCTTTATCCTTACATGTTGCATTGCTGAAGGTTCAGGAGTCAAATATCTGTATACACTAGTATTTACCTTTGTAGGGAATTGATATAGCTATCTCTCTTCCCTTCCTAATTTTTTTTAAAAAATACATTTTGATTGCAGTGCCAAACACAAAAGTTCAGAAAGATTAAGATACATAACTTTCTGTTCATCCTACATTAATCTCTTCTGTACATGTGCAGTGAATTACAGTCTTTGCATGATAAATGCACAAAGATAAAAGCTTCAGCTAGGCAATCAAGGCACACAGTTGATGTTGTGCAGCAGACTTAAATCTCATGCTGCTTACATTTCGAGTGTTTGGCTTTGCTATTTGTTTTATTGTTTGACTGGTATAGTTTATAATACCTTTGTGTCATTTTTTGCAGCTTTTAGGAGTAGAGGATGTAAGCAGATGTTGTATAGCTTTGGGGATAGTTTTGTGTTAGGTTCTTGGAAGAAGAGAGGCACATCCATTTTGAAAGGAAGACGGGTTCTTCTCGACTCTTAGGTGGGGTAGTCTTTGATTAAACATTCAGTTATGCTCCTCTCAATTGATGCTGTGCAAAATATGAATAAAATTTGCTTGTTTCAATTCCTGGTGGAATTCTGGAAAACTGGCTAATTGGGATAAGCAAGTACCTTGTAGGAAGGGTCTCAGTTCTGATCAGTTTAATGCCAAGATCAAAGGCTCTGGAGCATGGGCGTGATGTCTGAAAGCACAGTCAGAACTAGTGAAATGGTTTCGGTCAAAAGAATCAGAATCTGAAGAGAGAAAAGAAAGCAGCAATTGAGAAAAGTACCTGTAGATGTACTTGATATTTTAATGATCTTTAAATTTACAGTCTTTCTGCTTTCTTTAAAATATTCAATAAAACCATGAATAGATATAAATTGTACCATGTAACAGTTTAGGTCCAATTAT